GTTTTCTCGATGGACCTCCAGTAGTTTAATTGCCGAACCTAATGCCCCGCAGCATGGCAAGAGTTGCCGGGCAGCACGGCGGTAGTTGCCATGCTGCGTGGCAGGTGGCATGGCAAGAGTTGCCAGGCTTCGGTTCGGCAGTAGCGACTACAGGCGGTCCACCGCCATATCGGGCGAAGAAACTCAATTTCCCCCAAAAACTCCCAACATCTCTAAGCTAAAAAGCTTCAGAAATTCTCTAAGCCCAAACCTGCGAAATTCTCAAACTCTAAAATAACTTCAAAACATCTCTAAGCCAAAACCTGCGGAAATCTCAAACTCGAAAAACACTTCAAACAATCTCTAAACCAACACCTCCGAACATCTCAAACTCTAAAACAAACTGCAAAACAAACTCTAAGCCGAAACCTGGGAAATCTCACACCTAAAAACAACTAAAGACCTGAACTCTAGAAACATTCAAACAAACTTTGAAACAACTCTAAGCAATATAAACGCCTAATAACTTTAAAACATTCCAGACAATCATCAGACACCCTAAACGCCAAATAAATCTAACAACACAACTCTAAAACAACTCTTAAACAACTCTTGATACAACCTTGAGCCAACTCTAAACAAACTCTAAACACATTTCTGACCGCCTGGCGAACTCAAAACAAACTCTGGGAAAACTCTACAACAACTCTAATTGCAAACTCTGGCTTAAATTTTGATTTTTGTTCGCAGTTTTTCCCGGAAAGGGCTCGAGCCCAGGGTTCTCTTTTAGTTGGTAAACCTAATCCCCCGGTGCCAACTTGAAGGAGGCCGGCGGATTTTTTCCCTGATAAATATCGAGGTCGAAGGAGGCCGGCGGATTAAAATTTGAGGATGTCTCGAGCGAAACGCTTGTTTTTGAAATCCCGATCGATAAATCACAGGGTGCGGGCCACTTTTTCGTGTGTTGAGGATGTCTCGAGCGAAACGCTTGCTCCGCAGAGTTTGCCGAGGATGTCTCGAGCGAAACGCTTGTTTTGCAGAGCCGACCGCGACGCGGAAAAGCGCCCCGCGCGAAGGAATTTCGATGATGTCTCGACTAATTCCTTTGTTTTTGTACGATTTCCTGGAATTTTGGCAGGATGTCTCGAGCGAAATGCACGACCCCACCCTAGCACGACCATACCCCAGCACGACCACACCCCAGCACGACCAGACCCCAGCACGACCCCACCCCAGCACGACCCCACCCCAGCACGACCATACCCCAGCACGACCACACCCCAGCACGACCCGACCCCAGCACGACCCTACCCCAGCAAGACCACACCCCAGCACGACCACACCCCAGCACGACCTCACCACAGCACGACCACACCCCAGCACGACCACGCCCCAGCACGACCACGCCCCAGCACGACCACGCCCCAGCACGACCACCCCCCAGCACGACCACCCCCCCAGCACGACCACCCCCCAGCACGACCACCCCCCAGCACGACCACACCCCAGCACGACCACTCCCCAGCACGACCACACCCCAGCACGACCACACCCCAGCACGACCACACCCAGTCGCACCCCCGTGGAATGTTTCGTGGCGTGTCTGGTTGAGTGGTTGCCTGTTCGTGGGGTGTCTCGTGGAATGTTTCACGGGGTGTCTCGTGGAATGTTTCGTGAGGTGTCTCGTGGAATGTTTCGTGAGGTGTCTCGTGGGATGTTTCGCGGGGTGTCTCGTGGGATGTTTCGTGAGATGTCGCCCAGTTGGGTATCGTGAAAACGTGACCATGCTGCACATGTCTTTATCCCTTTCCGGGTTCGTGGGTCCATCATGTTTTTTACATTCGTTTTGTTTTGAAGTTTTGTTTTAGCGTTTGAGATTTTCGCAGGTTTTGGCTCAGATATTGTTTGACGTTTTTTTAAAGGTATGATATGTTTGCAGGTTTTGGCTTAGAATTTGTGGTTCACGTTTTTTTAGAGTTGAGATTTTCGCAGGCTTTGGCTTAGAGTTTTTTTGAAGTTTTTTGGGAGGTTGAGTTTCCTGCTGAAGATTATCCGAAGATTTCGGCTGGTTTTCTCGATGGACCTCCGGTCGTATAATTGCCGAACCTAATGCCAGGCAGCCTGGCAAGAGTTGCCCCGCAGCGTGGCCAGGGTTTCCAGGTAGTATGACAAGAGTTGCCATGCTGCATGGGTTGTCAGGCAGCGTTGCAAGATTTGCCATGCTGCATGGCAACAGTTGCCCCGCAGCGTGGCAAGAGTTGCCGGGCAGCACGGCGGTAGTTGCCATGCTGCGTGGCCGGTAGCATGGCAAGAGTTGCCAGGCAGCCCGGCAAGAGTTGCCAGGCAGCGTGGCAATCCATGCAGCCATGCTGCATGGCAAAATTTGTGTTAGTTCAAGGCAATGTGCATTCAGTGCAATGTTCGTGCGTGCATCAGAGGATTCGCGCGCGCATCAGTGCAATTCAATGCATGCTCGCGCGAGTGGCCGATGGTACTTCTACAGACCCCCGTCCACCGCGAAAAATGTCCGCACCCGTTAGTGCTTCGTGAGGCCTGGGGCGCAGTGATGAGGAGAGCAGCGATGTGGCAGTACCGTTCAAAGTTCATTTTGGCTGAGTGCGTGGGTATCTTGAGCGTTGTTTCTGCGATCGTGGCCGCGCCAGGGCCCGGACGCAGTGGGGGTCCACAGTGTTCAGCACGCCTCTGCCGCCATCTAGGACCCAGACATCAACGCACTAAGCTCTGGACGAGACTGCAATCCCCGCCGCTCCAGGGGTGGGGCCGTCGCTGCGCAGCAGTCGCGGACGTGAAGGGGGGCCCTCCCCGACTCTTGGGGCGGACCCCTTGGTGCGGACTGCGAGAGCTGCGGAAGAGGCGACGGCGTCTTTGAGGTTTGGCTTCTTGCCCCCGGTGCTGTCTTCCAGGCCCTGCGCCGACGGACGTCGGGGGGCCGGGCACATGGCGCGCGGGGGCGGTGCCGAGGAGCGGCGTGCCTCCTCCCCTCGGTGGCCACAGCTGCGTGGTGCGTGTGGGGCCAGTGCTCCCCTCGCCTGCTCCTGGCTGCCCGCCTGCTGGTGCGCGGGCCACCAGCCACCTGTGGGGCGAGCAACGCGAGCAAGCAAGACCGGCAGCAGCGACGGGCACGCTACGCTCGAAAAGCCCTGGTGCCAGTGGATGAGTGCGTAGCGCCCGCTTCTTTTCTTGGGGGAGCAATCCCTTACTCCTTCCATCGATCCCACAATTCGCGTGTTTCCAGGTGAGCAAGACCCTTTGGGGAGAGGCTCGCGCGCGCGCATCGACGCATGCACGCGCGCCTGGCCCATGAATCTATACAGCACGTCCCCCATTGCGAAAATTGAGCACTCGCATGCCTCTTTCTTTTCCTTGTTCTCCCCCTCGCTCCTTCCCCGCCTGTGCCTCGTCCGTCCTCTCCCAGGTTGGTCAAGCTTCGCGGGGCTGAGCTGGTTGCGGGGGTTCACCAAGTCGGGTGTTGTACGGACATAAAGAGCTGCAGGCTCGCGTCCGTTATGCCCAAGCGGAAAGGCCGCCTTCCCAAAAGGGCGGGCCGCACCGCTGCCGCCACTGCCATACAGTCGGGGCCCTGAAGAAGGAACCCTTTTTGTTGGGGAGGGGCTCCGTGTTCCTTAGTTGCTTTACAGTGCTCCTTGGGTTTTCCCGAGGTTTTCCATGGACAATCTGAGTTTACTACATGGGAAAAAAAGGGGCCTCGTTCCTTATTTAGGGTTCCTTCGGTCAACGCCTCGACTGTACTCCTCCCGCCAGTCCTTCTTTGTAGTCGTTGTGGAGGTTCAGACTTGCACACAACTCAATCCTCACTACATTACTTTACATCGGATCGAAGGCGAAGAGCGGCACAAGCAGGAGGCCCGCGCGGGTTCCCTGGGCCGGGGCTGGACCCCCCCTCGCCGCACCCCTGGCGGCGCCTCTG